TTCATTCATTCATTCATTCATTGCATTTAAGAGGTATTTGTGCTGACAGGCTGTGTTTGGTTTTCATCAAATGTGGCATTGGGCATTATGGCCAAACAGCTCCACTTTGCTCTTCTTTGTCCAAAGGACATTGTTCCAGAAGTCTTGTGGTTTTTTCCAGATGCAACTTTGCAACCCTAAGCCATGCTCTTTTTAGAGGAGGCTTTCTCCTGGCAACCTTTCCAAACCAACCATACTTGTTCAGTCTTCTAATTGTACTGTCATGATTGTACTCAGCATTTAACATGTTCACTGAGATTTATAGAGTCTGAGATATAACTCTTGGGTTTTTTGCAATTTCTTTTAGCATTGTACGGACTGATCTTGGGGTGAATTTGCTTGGATGTCCACTCCTGGCAAGATTGACAACTGTCTTGAATGTTTTCTACTTGTGACTTTATAATCTTCCTCATCTTCCTCACAATCTTCCAAACAATTGTTTGGAAATATAACCCTTCCCAGATTGATGGGCAGCTATAACTGTTTCTCTAAAATCACTGCTGATATGTTTCCTCTTTGGCATTGTATTAACACACACCTAAATGATCCAGAGCAGCAAACTGCTAAAACTTTTGCTTTTATAGAGGTGGTCTCACTTGCTGATGATCAAGGGCCTTTGGCTAACAGCAAGTGGCTGCTACTTAGCTGCTTAATTCCTAAGGGAGCAGTAAGAGTAAACTTAGTTTTTCATACATGGCTTCTCTGTTTTGGCTTTATCTTTGTAAAATAAATAATGACACAGTGTATACGTCATGTGTTGTTGTTCATCTAAGGTTGTATTTTTTTAATTTTTAGATTTTCTAAAGACCAGAAGATGTTTATTCTGTCCTGATACATAAAACCATAGATTTCCAAGAATTTTCACATGATTGTATATGTAGATACTATTTTCTCTAGATTGCCACACTGCATTTTATGGTTATAAAATATAATGTATTCCTATCATGCAAACATCTGAAGTTCTTAATGTTATTTAACTGCTGCAAATGTGTAATGCCGAGCCGTTTCTAGTTCCACAGTTCACAAGATTAAGAGTACTGGCCTATCTCACACGATGGATAAAAGCAACTCTGGAACTCTATTTTTTAAAAAAAGTTACTTGAATGAGCGGAAGAAAAATTTAAGACATTTGAATCATGTTTCAGAGGATGTTTATGAAAGGCCAATATTTTGGATAGCGCAAAACCAACAAGGACTTTATCCAGAAATGTACCGAATCCATCTATATTGAGGTATATTACTTCCGGGCATACAGCCAACACAAACATAATGTTTGCGGTCTAGCATGCAGGAAACAATAAACTCCTAATTTTCCTTTTAAACATGGAGTCTATAAATAACAGGCCAATATTTTGGATAGCGCAAAACCAACAAGGACTTCATCCAGAAATGTACCGAATCCATCTATATTGAGGTATATTACTTCCGGGCATACAGCCAACACAAACATAATGTTTGCGGTCTAGCATGCAGGAAACAATAAACTCCTAATTTTCCTTTTAAACATGGAGTCTATAAATAACATTGCAATAAATGGAGATGGTTTCTGGACATAATGAAACTAGGGATTGAGTGAACAGAGGGCTATTTTTAATTTTCCCTTTACTTTTTTCCCCCAGGCCTTTAAACTAGCTTTCTTCATAAACCAATTATTTATGTGTTATATTGGTGATTAACCTACCATCGGGTTTAACCAAATTATGTTGGTACTATTGTTCTGGTTGACCCAAGACTTTTTCCCACCTGAGGCAGTTGGGAAAGCAGCCTGGTCGTTGAAACGTCTGAGGGTATTTCACACTCAAAAGGGGCATGATGTCAAAAAGTAAAGTAACTGCTAGATTTAGGGTTACACCCTCCAAAAAAAACAACAACAAGGTAGTCATAAAAGTTACTAACATATATTTCCCAGCTGCCTGGCCTACTAAGAAGCTCACAGCCTGAAGCACAAGTTATGAACCATATTACAGGCTGCATGCGTGCTGTGAACCATCAAGTTGCATCCGACATACAGTGGTGCCTCACTAGACAGTTACCCCGCATGACATTTCTTTCGCTAGACATTGACTTTTTGCAATCGATTTTCGCTAGACGACAATTTTGGCAGCTTCCTCCGCGCTCGCAAAACAAGTTGTTTTCAGGACCTAAGCTTCGCAAGACAGCGATTTAAACAGCTAATCGGCTGTTCGCAAAGCGGCTTTCCTATGGCCGATCTTCACTAGACAGCAACTATTCTTCCCCATTGGAACGCATTAAACAGATTCCAATGCATTCCAATGGGGAAATGCTTTTCGCTACACAATTATTTCGCTAAACAGCGATTTCAGTGGAATGGATTATCGTTGTCCAGTGAGGCACCACTGTATAGTGATCCTATTAGTATTTTCAAGATACGTGAGACATTTAACGAGCGGTTTCACCAGTTCCAGCCTCACACGCACACCATGAGCATCCATGGCCAAGGAAGAATTCAAACCCAGGTCTCCTGAGTCTTGGTCCATCACTCTGTATCCTAAACCACACTAGACATCTGTAACAGTTTTAGTTTAAACATATCAAGAAATAAAAGGCACTCAACCAAGTGAGCTGACAAAGGACCAATGAAGCTTTTTGTTTCTCCCCTAATTCGCTCACCTAGATGGAATTTCTTGTCACTCTAATTAACCGGTGAGTGGTAAAAGGTGTGTCCGATCTAAAAAGACAAACCAGCTCAACCAACTGTACAAAACAAACACTGTATCTATCCACGGTTCATAGAACCCTCCCAACGTCCGCATGCTGTACTTTGAAACAACCACTGAATTCCTATTGCCAATTTAAACTCATCTAACTCATGACTAGAGAGGGGGGCAAATTTAAAAAATGGTGATCCATTTTGATTCGTGCTCCATCAAGGTTAACGGATACGAATATACAAATATTCTTTGACGAATAGATCCATCTTTGCTTTAAATGGCTATAAAACTGGACCCCAACCACCTAGAGACACCAAATGTGCAGGGGAGCTTCCTCAGATGCTTTTCTACAACTCCTGAACATTTGGTGAACATTGGATCATGCGCCTCTGAGTTATAAACTCACAAAGAGGAGCCCCCAGGTACTTAGAGAGTCCAGAATCACAACAGAACTTTCTATGTCTTTCCCCAACATGCCTGCCAACTTTGGTGAAGATTGGATACTGGACATCCAAGTTATTCACCCACAAACTGAGTCCCCCCTAGAAGAGTTCACCACACAGCACAGAAGCCCATTCTGCCTACTGGTCACTGATCAGCTGACTGGAGACCGATAGGCAGATACCCCCACCCCCCCAGCCTA